CTCAGTGGTCTAGTGGTTAAGCGCTTGCGCGCGAGACTGATAGGTCCTGTGGTTCGAATCTCGCGAGGCGTGATCGTGGATGTGCACTGCTGAGGAGTTGCACACTAGGATGAAATGGCCGTCCAGTGCTTGTAGGTTCTTGATGCTGGTCTATCTTAAATCGACTGATGAATCCAACTATTAAAATTACTACAATCTCCACAAATCTTCATGCTGTTAATAAAAATAATTAACAAAATTAACAGGTTTCCATAGAGATCATTCTGAATTCATACAATAAATAGTTCATATATACTAAAATAATATGTCAACTTAATAATATAGTTAAGGACGAAAATCCAGTTTATATTAAAGTTCAAACCCGTGAATACCAAATAAACATTGGAAAACTAAGATCATTCATAATTATTGGAGAAAATGACGTCAATAAAGAAAACATTCAACCTTAAATTGTACAATCTAAAAAAGTAAACCATGGTAATAAAAGAAAAATAACTGTTACGGAAAAAACAAAAAAAAAAGAACAAACAACCGTTATTGCGTCAAGCAGTAAACTGATCAAATACAAAACTAAAAAGTTACCTCATTTTGTTTTTGTTTTTGTTTTTTTTTAAATCCCAGTTACTACCTTAAGTTGTTAACCTTATCATAGATATTACATACTGAAGTAATAGTTGAGTATTGAATAAGTTGGATGTGTCAGTTTCATTTATTTAACAAAATATATATATTTTTAAAAACACTTCAAAATGAAGGACTTTGATACTTGTAACTAGTTCATAAAGTACCTGTTCATATTAGGGAATAAGATTTAGAAAAAGAATGAAAAACAAAGATAGTTATCATTGATTTCTAATAGATTGATTCGTTTCATTGATAATATCTTTACTCTAACACTACTAGTCGAGTCAGAGCTTATGGTGGACGGTCATCTGTTTTTGCAACCTCAAGTTGTGTCAGTCAAGGCTGTCCGTCTTCTCTATTTTTCTTTAACTTCATCATAGATCTACTGATGGAAATAACGTTCTCGTCGACTGAATTCTCAGGCATTGACCTCCTTCCAGGAGGTACACTTATTGACTTAGAAAACGCAGATAATATAGTCCTGTTTGATGAAGACACTGATAAAATGCAGAGTCTTTTGGTAACACTGAGCAACAATGCCAGAATGTTTGGAATGCGTTTCTCTCCCTCTAAATGCAAGTTGTTGCTTCAGGACTGGTCTGCGTCAACATCTGAACTAAGGATAGAGAAAGAAGTGGTCGAACGCGTTGACAACTTCACTTATCTTGGAAGTCTGATCAGCCCTAATGGGTTGGTGTCTGACGAAATCTCAGCACGGATTCGGAAAGCTCGTTTGGCCTTTGCCAACTTACGTCATCTATGGCGAAGGCGGGATATCCGTCTATCAATAAAAGAATGAGCATACTGCGCGGCTGCGAAACATAGCCACTAAGAGTAGAAGATACTCTTAAGCTACTAATATTTGACCTCAGATGACTTAGAAATATTGCTCGCATCTGCTGGGATCACCGGGTTAGACGCAGAATATTAGGGAACGATGGTAAATCAGTTGATGAGGTTATGAATCTCCATCGACTGAGATGGTTGGGCCACGATTTATGTACGCCTGAACACCGACCACCACAACGCGCAATTCTAACCAGTGTTGGGGATGGTTGGAAGAAAGTTAGGGATGGTCAAACCAAAATGTGGCATCAGTGCTTGAAGTCACTAACTTCTAGTCTGAGCCATGTTGGTTGATGCAGACTACTTGATTGGGGTCCGCGTGACTATCATAACTAATGGTTGGAGATTCTTGGTGACACGGCTCAGAATCGATCACAATGGCGTCGGTGTATACACTCTTTGTCTTCCCTTAAACTATGAAATCGCTTCATATCTTTCTACCAACTAATTCTTTTTTCCTATACTATATCCTTATATGCAATCTTTCTTTTATATATTACCACCATTGACTTAACTACTTCTATGATTCAGGTGTTCATTTTGCTGTGCTAATGTGGTATGGATACTTGGACCCCTGCATATATGTGCCTGGTCCTACGTTGTACCTGACTGACCAACTGACTATATAGATATCACAATTATATTATCAAGTATTTAACTGGTTGACAGATTATCTTATCGACTTAAATATAATGATCTTATTCAAGCATTGAATAATGACATATGAAATCTATTATGTTTTGAAAAAGAACTATCCAAGTAGTTTTCTGTAATCCAAATTACTACTATCCATAATGTTTGCAGCCAGATAGAATCACCCTATAAAGATCAGTCTCATTTTAATTAGGCTTGTTATCTATAATATTATATCATAAAAAAGAAGTAGTAAGAAATTGTAATAAAGATATGGTCTATAAAGTATCTTTAAGTAGCTTGAAAATTTCCTAAATATGGTAACTGAAGATGTATTGAATACCTCAAAAATCTGCAGTATATGTATGTTTGATATCACTGAAGATAAAGTAAATATTTTCAAGACCAGATCTACGGTGAAACGCTTAGTATCGAGAAATCATGGAAACTTTTAAAATTTTATCTTGAAATCACAGACTGATTGTAGTTAGACAACTACTGAAAACCAATAGGCAGTAGGCAGCTGTTTCTTTCTAGTATATGATTCCCCAGCATATATATATGCAGTGCCGTCTTTGGGGATTACGAGGAGCCTTCCAAAATACTGTACTAAACACGTATTACTGATAAAAATCTTGATTATCACTATTATTTGTCCCATCTTGTCGATAAATTCTTCTTCTTTCTTTCAACCATTCCATATTGTTACGACATCAACCACTGAATCGGGAGATTGTTGAATTTTTTATTTTAACACTACAGAATGATCCTAATTAAACAACTATTAGAAATTATAAAAGAATAGACATCTATTTCGTACTCTTATGGGATCTCATAGTGGTATTTATCCTAGTGATCTTCATTTTATGATCATATTTAAGTCATTTAACCTTGTTACATGATTGATACAAATTATTCTGTCCTCTTATACTTGATTAATCATCTTTGTAGCATAAATGGATGTTTTAATAATAATTATGGATTATATTTTATTTTGATAAGTTAGCTTTTTGTCACAGACTGACATTAGCTAAAACATCGTTGAAGACAAAGAAGAACTTGATATTTATTTCGTCGCATTATATGTACTACTGATCAGTGTTCATACATAGATTCACACAAAACAGAATTTAGGATGTTTAAGTTTTATGGTGATTATTAGATTTTTAGATTATTGATACAGAATCCAGTAGTCTATATTTCATTCATTCCATATTGTATGACAACCATCCAATGTCATCAATATAGAACAAACATACTCTAGACAATATATCTAACACACAGTGAAACTTTAATTTATTTTATTCAATCAACCACAGTGCTGGTGAATTTCAAAAACTCGGTCTAGATAACCATAGTTGACTCTTTGGTCTAATTATTCTCTGGGGGATCTCAACACGTGGGTTATATTGACTTCTTATACATATATGGAGACAGATAGCATACTTAGGCATTAATTATTGATTTAACTTTATTCTCCCTTCCTTCTATCAATCAAGATGCCAGTGAACATATACTAAAAGATTTTTGATTCTTTCTAATCTCGATTTCTCAGTCCCTAACATTTATTTTATACGAACTATTTTCCTCGAATATATCAACCCTAAAAATATTAAGTTGTAGAAAATTTAACGATTTATCCAGCTATTTCATTAGTATCATCTAAAATATCTTATAAATAAAGTTTGGTAATATAGATGAATCTTTGATACCGATGAAAGTAGTTTCATTTTGACTCATATATAATTCTATGATATTGTAACTCGGTGAACGATTGAAATGTAGTACATGATATAATTGTAAAGATAAATGGTTAGACAACTGTACAATGAGGTGTTTGGTCATAATATTACCTTATTGAAAATGAGTAAGTTTACTAGTTTTATATCAAGTATCATTCGTGATTGAGCATCTCTATTGATGAGGTGTATTAAGAGTTTTGAATGATCGTGAGTATTCTTGACAAGGAAGTTGGCATCTTCTAACATAATTCAGCAAACAATCTACAGATTATAATTAAGATTTCATTACAGGATAACAAGATGTTAGCTACCTTTAAAATTTCCCAAAATCATCACTTGTGAAGAATGATTCGAAGATAAGTATAAACATCTACTTACCTATAACTTCTACCTGAATAGTTCATGTTTCACACCCGTAAATTAATAGAAAGTGAATATCTCTTGTCTCATGACATATCTTGTCTTCACTACAGGTAGCGTAGGTTGTAAATAAGCAAATTAACTATTGTATACGTATTGAAATTTAATCATTCACTAACTTCTCATGAGTGAAGAAACTTCTGAGGTAAGTAAAGTAATTGATACTACGTACTTGTTCATTTCGTTTTTTATTTTAAAGAAAATAAACGGATCCATCACGAAGAAATACTTTGCAAGTTCTTAACTTAACTAAAAATATTCATCCAAATACTCCTTGATAGATTGTTAAATATCTTAGGGCTTAGTGACTATTAATAAATAAGACTGAGACCATGTAGATAATGACTCAATCATTTAATATGTGGATATATTCTATGAGTTATCAAAAATAAAAGTATGATGAATTACAAGGCAACAAGATCTATCTAAACACCATTTATGTGCTTTTAATTTATATATTCAGTTAATATTTATTACAGTATCAACTAAAAATACTAACTACATTACAATCTTATAGTGAGTTAGTATTATTATTATTACCAATATGAATAATGAGGGTGTTAACTGATCACAATAAATTAAACAAGACAATTTATTGATTGACCTTCAAAAGATCCAATCAACCGATAGAGAATAATAGATAAATAAACCAATCATAAACTAACTTTATTCTGATTGGTTAATAATCTTAACAACTTCAATGTTTTAATCCTCGTGATTTTATTCATGTATTTCACACATGATTTCTTTAATTTAGGAGAATGTTATGTACAGAATATTTAAATTACTTATGTGCAATATTATTTTTAATCGAACTCAACATTCACTATGGGAGTATATTATTCTTTAAATAAACAAAATGGTTGTATACATAATAAGATTTTTAAAGGAAAAATTATTACAAATATTCATATAAACAAATATAAACGTTCTGGAACACGAAAATATTCACATAAATCAAATTCATATATCATTAAAGTGATAAATATTACTGCTAATAATAAAAATATCTTAAACCATATGAATACAAGTTTAGAAAGTAAATCTCTAGATAAATCACAAATTAATTTTATTTCTTCAATGAACTCAAGAGGATGTATTTCACCTACTTTACCTAGACGTAAGTCACCAACACATTTACATGCCAAAATCTTTAATAGTTGTGTTCCATTATCTGGTTTACGTCGATCATTATCTCTTCCAAAACAAAACAGTTTATTAAATAAGAATCTTTCTCCTGAATCAAGATTAGGAATAATAGGATCGAAGTGTTTGTCAAGAAACAATTCAAAATGTTCAGCAGCAGCAGCAGAGGGAAATACTTCACCGATTGGTGTTGAACTTTCAATTTCTTCTGGTGGTTGTTCTAAAGACCTGTTGATGAAGTGGAAGAGTAGTAAGTATGGTCAATCTTCTCGTGATAAACGCGATAAGGAGGTTGACTATGGTCAAGATAATCTTGTATTCGAGAACTGTTTGGATTGTATCGATGATCAAACGACAAATACAACCATTCTTTCTAGTGATTACACGTCTTCTATGGATGATTGTTCCTCTATTTTTTATGATCCTATATTGGCTAAACTTGAAGCAGAATTACCTGTTCCACCCCCTCCTCCACGTGCTTGCCCACCTTGGCTTAAAGCTGCTCTTGCAAAACAAGAAGCTTTAAGCAAAGAACCAATACAGAAATTTGATTTTAAAGATAGATGCTGTGTATCATCCTCGTTGCAATTACCCACATCTCAGTTATCTCCTCTTCCATCTGACTTGGATCAACATAAAGCTTTGAGCCTTGGAAATAGCCGTTTTAATGTTCGCATTTATCCAATTATACAAAATGGAGTAAAAATAAGTGATACACACTATTGGCTTCTTGATCCCCCTCGATCCAAAACGTTACGCGATAACTCTACACTTATGCGTAGAACAACTGAATGTGTACGTGTTCCTCCATCTTCACCACTGGACATTTATTCTACAACTGACGGTTACACAAACATTGAATCCACCAGTTTATGTCCTCCAAACGAGTTACCACTCAAAGATGTTAAACTGAGACGTGGTAAATCTGAAAATTGTAAAGATTCTTTAAAGAATTTCCATAGAGAATTAGTTTTACGTTTGATGAAAGAAGTTCCACAAGCTACTGAGTCTGAATGCCAAGCTGTACTAATAGGTAGCAGTTATGATTATGAAGAAGCTACAAGAAGATTAAAATTTGAATTACTATGCCGTAAAGGTTATGTATCTCGATCACATAGTAAACGTTTATTACATAAATATAATTGGGATTTAGATGCAGCTATCTCACGAGCTCATTATGAATACGAATTTCGAAAATTAAAACGTCAAGAAAAAGAACAAATAGTATTTGATGATGAAGATCCATCATCATATTTTAATCAGACTAAAGGTTGTAATAAATATTTAACACAATCATCAACTTCATCAGATTCTTCTTTATCAACTTTACCATGTTCTGTAAATCATCAATCAGTTATTTCACCATGGTATGATGAAGGTCGAAGAAGTAATCTATTTTAATTGAAGATTTTTAACTCTATGAGATACAATAGTATACATATTATTATGACTTAACAATTATTCTGTATTAAAGAGTTTATATTGACAATATACATACGGATACATACACATACATCAATCATAATTATTTCAGATGAAAGAATAATTATAAATAATAATTTTTTTTATTACTAAAGGTAAACCAAATTTTTATTTATTTATTCTGTATCGATCGATAAATTTGTTTCTTTTCCCTCTCTCTCTCTCTCTCTCGTGTTACCGGTGTGTTCATATGTATGGATTATTTATAACAGCAGTGTCTTAAATTATTCGATTGTTTTTTTGTTTTTGTTTTTTTTTTTGGAGGCAGGGAGGTATGATTGAGATTGTTATTCATTTATTTACCTTTGTATATATTTAAGCATTTACAAATGATCAATAGAAAAAAAAGAAAAAAATAATGTACTTTATAAACAAATTTTGAGAAAAAAAGTAACTAATTTATCCGTAATTAATGACTCGGTTTATGAAAAAGAACAATTGCATTGTAAGATGAATTTTCTTTATTGAATATGTTATTCTTTATGAATTCAGAATGAGAACACATACATACAATTACATACATACCTACATACGTACATATATACATACATACATATATATATATATCCTCTAACTGTACATAAACCCAAATACAATACTTATTTATATTGATAAATTAGTAAGAAAGAATAATAATAATAATGATCTATTAATAAGAAGTCTAGTCAGTTAGTATATTTCTTCTCTTCAAAAAGTAAATCCCTTTCATATCTTCTACTACTTCTTCTTCACTTTCTGTTCTCTTAACTTATTTACTTCTCATCATTTAATCTATATACTAATCAGTGCTTTGTAAGATTACACTTAACTATTATACTTTGTACAATTAACTTTTCTGTATGCTGGCAAGCAATAGTTGATAATAATATATTGCTTATTACTCTTTTACTGTTACTACAACTTTTGGTTGCCAAAGTTACATCATCAATATCATTCGTCATAAACGTTATCATCATTTAAATGATTTTTCTCCTGATCTCTCTGTCTCTCTTTTTTTTTAAACATTGGTATTACTTATTTTCATCGAATGTCATGATACATAATTAGTGGATTATATTGTAAAAGTTTTTGTATATGCGTTTGTACATGTACATGGATATATATATATATATATATATATATATATATATATATATATATTTGCGTGTATGTATGTGGCCTTAATCCATGTTAGTATATGTAAGATAAACATTAAGTTATCTACTCGTTAATTTGTGAAAGAATCAGAAAATCACAAAAACAAACCCTGTATATTATTGATTTTTTTGTTTTTTTTCTTGTTTTTGTTAACGAAATGTAGAAACGGAAGGAAATGTTGTTTACTTGCCTTGGCAAGTAGAAGAATAGGAAAGAAAGAAATTATGAAAAAATTAATACTCAGAAGAGGGTTTTGTGGAGATTTTAGTGATATAATAGTTGAATTCATGAGTCAATTAATGCCTGGAGGCACTAGACGGCCGTTTCGTCCTAGTATGGATTGGTTGAAGTTAGACATTAACACCGTTGAATGCAGGCTCAGTAGTCTAGAGGTTAAGCGTTCGCACACGAAACCAATAGATCCTGGGTTCGAGGTCGTGGATGCGCACTGCTGAGGAGTCCCACAATAGGACGAAACGACCATTCAGTGCTTCCAGGTTTTCAATAGTGGTCTAGCATTGATCAGGAAGCAACAATCACTGAAAATTTGTAAGCTTCTAAATGATATTTATTTTATTTGCTGGAGTTCCATAGAAAATGACCTAAAGACCCATCGAAACATGTTGGAGGTATCATAATTTTGAACAACATACATATGCGAACAAAGTTGTTTTTAATCAGATCCTCATCAAGCCTTACTGTAATATACAGTAATGTGTGTATGTATGTATATACATATGAATATATTAAACCAATCCAATCAGTTAATGAAATATTGATGATAGTGGAATATCAATGGTTGAGACCATGAGTCAGTTGAAGCTAGACCACCATGGAAAATCTGGAAACACTGGAAACACAGTCTCGCTCGCGAGCGTTTAACCACTAGACCACTGGGCCGGCATAGTGGAATATATTAAATAACAACAGGCAATGGGTAAACATTGGTAAACTGATAGTGTCATGATAAGTGTACTAGTTGTGATAAAAATGATAAGGGCTTGAAACGATGTTTCATAATAAGTAGGTCAACAACTTGGAAAAATAGACACAAAAATACCATTCATTAAAAATTCTCAATAAGAAGTGTTCGAAGCGTATAATTCAAGAAAATCGGTGAACAAAATCAAACTAATAATGATTATGGGAAATAATAATAAATAGGATCTTTTGTTCAAGACAATTTGGCCGAAGAAGAGGTAAGGTTGTTACAACTTTTTTATTAACATAAAGACCGTTCGTTAGTGCTTCTGATGTATAAGAGATGAGATCAAATCGTACAAATAAAGGTATTAGGTTTACGATTTATTTCTGTTTACTGCATGGCCGCTATCGATAATGTGTGACAGAACAGAGCTACGTATTGTTTTGTTCGTGCCTTTACCCAACCACGAAGAGAGGTATCCACTAACTCATTAGCTCAGTTATCTGGTTGTACCAGCAATATAGCTTTCTCCATGTAACGTATCCTTTAATAAGGAATCACCATAGATCGGATAGGAGATGATAAACGGGTTAGCTGCATTACAACTCCTCTTTATTTCTTTAATTAGTCTATCTCGTAGTGCATCTCTGGCTATGCCTCCGTCGAACTGTGGGAACTAGCCCTGTAATCGGTTAATATAACATATCTTATATTTCTTAAAGAAGTTTATCATAATTATTTTCAGTTTATTCCAAAACCACTTCTGAAAAGTAATCTAAGATCAACAAATTTAATGAGAGATAGTGGATGAGTTTTTTAAATTATCTCCCAATATTATATAACAAACTGTATAGTTGATCAGAATGAAGTGTGAAAAACTTGTAGAAACTGTTTATTTGCTAGTACGGTTTATCTATTTTATTCTCATGTGTATATGTACTTGTGTGGCTACAGCTTTGAACAATTTAAATGTATGAAAATTACTAATATAATTCAATGGATAGGAGAAACTTATGGAAACTTTTTCGACATTATGGAGTACCTGAGAAGGTCGTCAAAATCAAACGGGATTCGTACGACAGACTACAATGCAAAGTCGTGCATAGAGGACAACTGACAGGCGCATTCCAAGTGAGGATCGGAGAAAGACAACGCTGCCTACTCTCCCTCTCTCCCTCTCTCCCTCTCTCCCTTTCTTCTGATGGTTGACTGGATTATGAAGACCTACACCTCTGACGGGAAGCACGGAATACAATAGACAGCTTGGAAGTTACTAGATGATTCGGACTTTGCAGATGACCTAACCCTTTTATCCTATACACACGAACACAACTAGTGTAGCAGCAGCCTCTGGATCACTAGGCCTCAACATACACAAGGGGAAAAGCAAGATCCTCAAATACAACACAAAGAACACCAACCCACTCACACTTGATGTAGAAGCTCTGGGAGAGCTGAAGACTTTCACATACCTAGGAAGCATCATTGATGAACAATGAGGATCGGATGCAGACGTAAATGGAAGGATTGATAAAGCAAGGAAATCATTCCTACGGTTGAAGAACATATGGAACTCAAAAGAGCTGTCAATCAATATCAAAGTGAGAATCTTCAATACGAACGTCAAAACAGTTCCACTGTACGAAACAGAAACCTGCAGAACTACTACAGATATTATCAAAAAGTTACAAGTATTTATAATCAATTGTATACGAAAGATACTCAATGTCCGTTGGTCGGATACCATCAGCAACAACCTACTGTGAGAGAGAACAGACTAGCATCCAGTTGAAGAGGAAATCAGAAAAAGAAGATGGAGATGGATAGGACATACATTACGGAAATCACCTAACTGCACCACGAGGCAAGCGCTAACCTGGAGGGAAACAGAGAAGAGGAAGACCAAAGAGAATTGGAAGTAGACATGAAAAGGATGAATAGCAACTGGAAAGGACTGCTCAGGACGGAGCTGAATGGATAATGCTGATGGGCAACTTATGCTACTCCACGAGGAGTAACAGGCGTAAGTAAGTAAGGAGACACAAGGTCATTGCACTAATTAAAGCTAGTAATATTATTGTTTATAGGCTGTAAGCCATTAAAGAGAATCCATAAAGCAAATGAGTTTTCATATTGTTGTGTTACGTGAATGCTGGCCAAAATTCTAGATGGACAATATAGTATTAAATTTTATTGCTATTTAACTGAAACGAAATATAGCAGCCTCTTCTTTCTTTTTGTCACCTATGAAATATGTTTTTTTTTGAATGATTATTTAAAATGGCTGAAAAGTTATGTCATAACTCTGTCTAGCTAATTACATAGCATCATTATTTCTGGGTATTTTGATGCTGAAATGCAATAAACTTATTAGACACTGGATTAGATTTCTATGCTCAATTTACAACGAAGTCATATTAATACAGTATTAACAAAACTTTTTACCACTCAGCAACAGACATTCTTATTAGTACAGTTGTAATGGATATATAATTCTACTTAAAAATGTAATATGTATGTGTAGTTTTATCATGAAATAAATATATCCATTCCACATTGTGATACAAATGATTTCTCTCTCGCTCTGTTGATCCCAGACAAGGGTTAATAAAATGTATTTGAAAAACAAGTAATTCTTATTTACTGTTTTAATTCACGTTTTATATTAGAGCTAAGCTCTATTCAATTACCTCATGTGCATGCATATGTATATAATTACTTGGATGTTTATCTGGTTATACTAGTATCGTTTAGTAGTACCTATCAGTAGAATTCCAAGCATTCGTTTGTTTTATTTGACGCTAATTGGTTTGATACAATGGCGCACATGGGCTTAAGTGTCCTGAAGGAACAAATGGCGTATGAACCAGTCGTTGGTCACCGGCTACCATGGGACTGCATCTCCTTACGATGCTCCACTGTCTTGTGGACCAGATCTTCAGGTCAAAGGCTCCGGGTGTGGCCTCCTAAGAAAACCGCCTGCTTCGGTTTGGGCACCCAGACAGTATCACAGCCCTCACACATATCAAATGAGATCTGTGTGGCGCATATGTATTTGGTGCCTCCTTGTACCAATATCTATGTGTTAAAATAAATAAATAAATAAAATTGATACATTTGATACCCCCTGTTCATTTCTTATTTCCTGGAAACTGGGCTCTACAAACTGTACTTCAAACATCAAATTCAGTCAATTATTAGTGACGTACAGCCTTGAAAAGAGGTGTAATTGCCCAAGTCCCCATACGATTTCGGGATGACCAAAAAATTAACAGGTAACATTCCAAAAGCTATTAAAGTAATATGGTAATCATGATAGTGAGAAAGACTGAACATTGTGAATATAGTTTAAAAAAACCAGATTGGGAAAGCATACATCTAAGAATACTGGGGCTTGACATCTAGTAAAAGATAAAGAATGAAAACATTTGTACCACTATGAGTGATTCTGACCAACACCACCCAAAGTCTCCGGCGATTGATTGCTGTTATCGCGTAAAACTAAACCAGCATAGCTCAGACCAATAGTTAGTGACTTCATGGACTGATACCACGTTTTGATTTGCGTACCACTAGCTTTCTTCCCACCAACTCCTACACCGGAAAATATTACGTTTTGAGGTGGGTAGTGGTTAGATATATGTAACATATCCTGATCGTCTCAGTTGATTAAAATTTAAAACCTCACCAACAGATTTCTCAGCTATGCCGAATATCCTATGCCTAACATCACTATTGGCCACTCGGTTGTTCCATGAAAGCCGAGTCGTGCTCTAAAGATACTTATAATTAAGATCATATAGCCTACTTATGTCTTTTGGTCTTATATTACATGCTTAACGGCTGTAAAGTAAAATAGAGCTTTCTGAATCCATTTCGATGCTTTATCAGAAGCCAACATCAAATTACTACCATTCAATAAGTTCAATAATAACAGGGAATTATATTTAGATGCAAGGTGTTTTGTGTAGATTGTTGAACTTGGTGGTTTACATTACAAAGTCGTCTTGTTTAGAAGAACATTGAATACGAGGAATTATTTATTAAGCATAACCTAA